AACCTCATCTCTAGTTTTTGTTTTAATGTGAGATGCATCAAAAGCAGTGATTAGAAGGACATGTATACCATTAAAATGCATAATTCAACACCTGAAAACTTCGTTAATCTAATAATGGTATTTAAAACAACTTTACAGCTAACATCAAGCTTAATAATCAAATACTAAATGATTTCCCCCAATATCAAAAATTATACAAAGTTGTTCTCTCCCTTCATTCCTATTCAACGTCATACTAGAAATCCTAACTAGTGCAATAATGGAAGAAAAAGAATTAAAAGAAATACAAGTTGCACAAGAAGAAAAATTACAGGATACAAAGTCAATACAAAAAGTCAACTGATATATACCAATAATGAACAATTAGAACTTGAAATTAAGAAAATACCATTTACAATAGTACTCTTTTTCCTCCCCACCCAATTAAGTACTAACATATAAATCTAACAAAATATGCTCAAGATCTGTATGCAGAAGATTATAAAACACTGATGAAAGAGATCAAAAGGACCTAAATATAGACACATTCTGTGATCATGGATTGGAAGACTCAATATTGCTAAAGGGTTAATTCTTCCCATTTTGATGTATACATTCAATGTATTCCCTATCAAAATCTCAGCAAGGCTTTTTTTGTAGACATTGACAAGCTGATTTTAAAATTTATATAAAAGGCAAAAGAATTAGAATAGCCAGGATAATTTTGAAAAAGAACAAAGCTGGAGAACTCACATTACCTGATTTCAAGAGTTGCTCTAAAACTATGGTAATCAAGATGGCGCAGTATTGGCGAAAGAACAGATACACTGACCAATGAAACAGAATAAAGAAAGAGTTCAAAAATATACTCCCCAAATATGGTCAATTAATTTTCAACAAACACTCAAAGGCAATTCAATGAAGAAAGAATACTCTTTTCAACAGATGGATTTTAAAATTGGACATCCATATGCAAAAAAAAAAAAAACCCTTGACCTATATTTCATACTTTATGTTAAATTTAACTCAAAGTAGATTGTAGACCTAAGTATAAAATACTAAAGCCTTTAGAGAAAACATTAGAAACAAATCTGTGACCTTGTGATAGGCAGAGATTTCTCAGATAAGACAAAGAAAACTAGTTTATGTGCATAGAGTTGGTTGTAATAATCTCTGATGATGGTCTGAATTTCTGTGGAATCTGTGGTGATATCCCCTTTATCGTTTTTTATTGCATCAATTTGGTTATTCTCTCTTTTCTTTTTTATTAATCTGGCTAGTGGTCTATCTATTTTGTTGATCTTTTCAAAAAATCAGCTCCTGGATTTATTGATTTTTTGAAGGGTTTTTTGTGTCTCTATCTCCTTCAGTTCTGCTCTGATCTTAGCTATTTCTTGTCTTCTGCTAGACTTTGAGTTTTTTTAATCTTGCTCCTCTAGCTCTTTCAATTTTGACGATAGGGTGTCAATTTTTGATCTCTCCTTGCTTCTCATGTAGACAGTGTGGCAATTCCTCAAGGGCCTAGAAATAGAAATTCCATTTGATCCAGCAATCCCATTACTGGGTATATATCCAAAGGATTATAAATCATTCTACTATAAGGACACGAGCACACGAATGTTCACTGCAGCACAGTTTACAATAGCAAAGACCTGGAACCAACCCAAATGCCCATCGATGATAGACTGGACAGGGAAAATGTGGCACATATACACCATGGAATATTATGCAGCCACCAAAAACGATGAGTTCGTGTCCTTTGTAGGGACATGGATGAACCTGGAAACCATCATTCTCAGCAAACTGACAGAAGAGCAGAAGATCAAACACCGCATGTTCTCACTCATAGGCGGGTGGTGAACAATGAGAACACATGGACACAGGGAGAGGAGCACTACACACTGGGGTCACTTGGGGGGAAATAGGGTAGGGACGGTGGGGGGTGGGGAGTTGGGGAGAGA